CCCAACAGGTGATACTATTTGAAATATACTTAATGGCATTAAAAAATTTAAGCATTGCCAGTGAATTATTTACCTGAATACCTAATATTTTTAATATAAATAATATATATTTCACATAGATATAAATTAGCCGTAGAGCATACTGAGTAATTTTGTTTCTTTGTTGTTAAGCATACAGCTGCACAATGGGCTATCTGTACCTTGCCCACCTCATATACCAAAACACCATTTTTAGTGTTACTGCAGAGTCAGATAGAGCACCGTAGTAGTTTTAGAACTGATTCTGCAGCTACTTAAAAACAACTATGTATTAAATCTGCAATAATCAATAAATTACTTTATTATACAATAGACATAACACTAAGAAAAATAAAATCACATAAAAAAAGGTTTTTTGTTCTGTAATTGAATACAACTTCTCACATGCAGATGACAGTTCTTAAAATGATGCTACAATTTATATCAGACAATTTTCTCTTCTCCTTTGGAATTCACCACATTCTGTTATTTTGATATTTTCAAGATGCAAGTCTGAAGACTAATATCATGTAACCACTGAACCTTTTTTATAGATTCTAAAAGAAAATACTCTCATCTACAAACTTTTTCAATAAAAACCTCTGAGTTATACGTGCTATCACTGGTAATAACACTCTGCATGCAAATCAATTAGAAATTTATTTTTCTTGAAATAAAGTTATCATCAACAAGCTAGAACCTAAACTTTCAAACATATAATTATGTATATATATATATATATAATAGAAAAAAAAACTCTTACCTCAAGAGGCATAGTGCATTCTGAAAATAACAAACATAAAATATATCAGTATTACATTTCTCCTACACTTATTCTGAAATTTATTCACATAAAAATCAAAAGTAGATTTTACCCATGGAAATGTTTCCTATATAGCTTATTTTTAGAATACTTAATTTAACAAGAATACTTTAGCTTCACTACCTCTATCCATTTCTAAAGCCTAATTTCTATGTAAACACTGATTTTCTAATTATAGAAATTATCAAAAGTCAAATTACAATACAAATATTCCAGTTTGCAAGTAGACTTAATCTTCAAGTTGCTAGAGTGTAAAATTATTTATTAAATGCAGGAGCATCATTTTGGGAAAGCACGGGGAGGGGAGGCAAAGAAGACTGACCTTGTACGAGTTAATCTGTCCTGACAAAAACTGTCAATTGTGGTCCACCTTCTGAACTTGAGGGGGTAGCTGCCTTTGTCTGCCCTTCCCCCTATTGACTGGTATTTATTCAATACAATGAATATATCAATTTCATGCTATTTCTAGTACTTCACTTGTATATATTTGATGTTCTGTGTTTTCTAATATAGGTCAGATATACTGAGAAACAAAAGGCCAGATCAACTAAAATCATCACCACAACTTGGAACAAAATACCAAGAATTTTAGTATTTGGTAATGTGCTTGTAATTCAATACTAATCTCTGTCAGAACTTAAACATATAATTATTTTTTGCCAATTGTCAGAATAAAAGACTTTTACTTATTCTTCTTAATAGTATAAATATATACCATATTGTTTTGGGTTTAGGATTCTTCTACAGTATGTGTCTGTGACTTGTTGGTGACAAATTCAACATATCATAAACACTATATATATATATATATATATATATATAGTTCTCTTCTTGTTAAAAGTCCAATTAGGCCTACTCAATTGCTTTAGAATTTCAGTTGACAAGCCAAACTATCTTCTATATTGCTATTCCACTAGTATTCTGTGTGTGATTCACTTTCAACTATAGCATGAGTTACCATATTCGTTGGGTCTCCTTCAAAATATCTTCTGTTCCTTTTGTCAAAGTACACTCAGGCTGATTCAATTACTTTAGAACCACACTTTGATGGAATAAATTATTATTCTTATCTTCTTTTCTATTGTTAGTCTTACTGTAACATATTAAACTTTAGGCCTATCACTTCTATGGTAGTTAACTTCATGTCAAACTTTTCCTTGCCCGTAACTTTACTCTCTTCTGTTATTGTATGTCTGCTGTTTTTGCTCATCTCACACTATTTATATGTTTATCACTTAATCATTTGGCCTTCTAGAAATCTCTGTATTCTCGACATCAATGTATTGCATACAACATTTGATAGTCTCAACATCAATGAATTATAAACATAACTTCCTACAGTCATTTGCTTTCAACTCTTATTATAACAAAAACTAAACAATAATAAAATATTCACTCACAAAATAAATTAATCATTAATATCTAAACTAAACAGTCTTTTATAACATGACAGTCTCCATACTTTAATATCATTAATAACTGTTAAATAAAGTGACATACAAATAAAACAGAAGTATATGTTCAACAGATGCTTAACCAGAGCTATCTACATTTCCTAGACTTTAACACTACATTAGGTAACTATATCAGGTACTTTATACAAAACTGTTAGGAAAAACTTGGATTTGTAGCTTGAGCAGTAGATCTCCAGCCTTATTTGTTTAATATTTTCGCAATCCCAATTGTAGATTTTAAATTATCAATTTTTTAGTTATCTTGTATGTTGGCATTTTTAATGCACAACAATGGGCAAATATATGCCTAGAGTAAGACACAATCCCCACAAAGCACGTATAAAATAAATAAAGCTTCATGTCTTTTGAAATAATTATTTACTAAGCCAGGTGGCTTCATGCCTGAGGTTTCGTGTAAATAGCCACTCAGAAGAACATTTCATCTACTGTGTATTTATAAACATATAAATTAACTTTCACTGAAAAATAATCAACTTTTAAATAGGTCATGGACATTCAGAGCACTTCATATAGTATATTTGTCTAGGTTTTGGTGCAAAATACCCAGCCAATTTTTTTGTAGGCTTGTGAAACAAAATATATTGATAATAATAATAATAATATGAAAAAAATGGGAAAATTTGGATTTATTTACAATCGTGAAATTGCTTATTTACTATTGAAAAAGAATGTTTTGACTGTTGTTTCAAGAATAAGACTGCTTTTTAGGTGGTTTTTGCCTGAATGTCCTATTAAGAGTTTTGAGTAAATTATTGTGTTATCCCTATTACGAAACCACTTGTGATTCATGATAACTTAAAACTTCCAACATATTTTCAAAATAATTGAAACAATTTTTTTTTCTCCCAGTAAAATAAAATAAAATGTGCTTATTTAGACTGCTAACTGTTCTTTTAAACATAGTGAAATTCATACACACAAAGAATAATACCAAAAACAGTCCTTTACAAAAGAAATGTCAGTTTTATGGTCAAAGCAAATTATATATATTTTATTGTAATATAAGGGACAGAAAAGTAAGATACATACACAGCTTGGCTTAGTACCGTTCAAATAAAAACCTCATGGTCTCCTGTTTTTTTTAAAAAAAAGAATTTTCAACCTTATTTTCCTTCTGAACTTTGTTTAATGTTTCATGCTATTCCATAATTTTGTTTTCATTTCCAAGTTTGCTGAATTTTCCATGAAATTTTTAATCAATAATCAGGAGGAGTCACAAATATGCTGATGTTATTAATTACACCTTTAACAGTGTTCATGATGTTTTGATAATATGTATGAAACTTATACTGGCAAACCTTTAATTTTATCCCTTAATTGACTGGATTTATTCAACACAGTAGATGGTACTTATTAAAAAAATGAAGACATTATAATTTCTTCCTTTAACTAGCTGGTATTTATTCAACAAAGTGGATATATTCAGTTTTTTTCTTTAATTGACTGGTATTTATTCAACAAAATGGATATATTTAATTGTTTCTTTAATTGGTTAATCACATGGAGTGTTTTGTAAAATGCTCTTTCACCCTTCAACTCACAGCTACAGTTACACTTTGGACATGTTACTGTATAATTGACACAAGATTGCTACATTTTAGGATCGCCATCCTTAAATTTAAAGTAATTGGTTACCCAAACAAAAGATCAGCTTAAAAACAAATGTGAAAATGTTACGAACAAAAGAAACTGTGGAAACACAAGTTACACACACACACACACACAGTTAATTGACTGGTATTTATTCACCACAATGAATGTATCAATTTCATGATATTTCAGCTTACTAGTGCATCACATGTACATATTTGATATTCTATGGTTGCTATTGTTGGTTAGATTTATAGTAAGAAAACTGGTAATTACTTTATATTTACTTCAAACTTATTAAACTCCAAATACACCAAACTATACACAATAGCTACAAAAAAAGATGAGTTGTTTATTCATATGATAGCTCTCTTAAAGGAACAACTTTACTATATATCATTATTTAAATTATTTTATGAAAATACATACCTCCACAGTATAAAACTTTCAGGGGATAACTAACTCCTGGTTGAGGACCAATTGGAAAACCATTATGTTCAGCTTCTGTTGAATTAGGAGCCTCTATTTCTGATGCCATACTCTAGTGGTTCATTAAACAAACACATATGGAATTTCAGGAAAAGCCAGAAAATCATTTAACTTTATAAAAATTTTATGAGCTAGAACTACCAATATCTCTATTTTATTTTGTATTCTATTTTTTGATGTTTTTTTTTTGACAAATTGATAATTTCTGCAAATTCTGTATTTTGTCATAAAAAAGTTTGTTAACAAAATCTTGACGAATACTTTAATATGTACAAGTCCGTGTTGACTGAATTGTGTCCACATCTGTTTTTCATTATAATTGAAACATATTCTGAAATATATATGGTTTGTTCAATTTCTACTTGCTTTGCTATAGGAAAGTCAAATCCATGCTATAAAAAACAATAACAAAATGAGCAAAAAGGAGGATCATCAGAAGTTGAATAACACAAGCTCAGCAAACAAACTGAAACACTTATTCTCATCTAATGATTTAAATACATTCAACAGTATTAATCAGTTCATCTTATGATATGCTAAAATCTCCTTTATTTTCACCATTTAGCATTGGTCGGCTATCAAATAAATTAATGTATTATTTTTTTCTCACATACTTCTAAACTTAAACTTGGTATTCACAATGATCATGAAAATAATAAATTATTCAAAATTTATATTTTGATTTTTTCAACTATCAAATTAATCAAAATATTGCCACAACTTAGCAAGTTTTACTAATCACCCAGCTCTACCCACGACTAACAAAAATCTTTTTTCTATATCAAACAAAGCACACACAGTGGGTTTTAAATTATTATATGCTGTCAAAGTTTGGCTTTAGTTCTGTCTAAATTAAATTATCTAAAAATATCACATAGGATTTATACAAAAAAAATCTTTTAGTCATACATAATTTTTCTACATGAAAGAAAAAATGCTAATGCATTTCAACAAAATATTTTATACAAATCTAGATTTTTAGAAAATCAACTCAAAAAATTATTTGCACACATACATTATTTTAGCTACAAATAATTATAAAACACAAAACATATGCTGTTTAATTTTAAGTAAATTTTGTAAAAATTCTATGTCAGCAGTAAAGGAATAAATCATTCCAAAAACCAAAAATAACCTATGCAAATCTGTTTGATTTTGTAACTGTAATTTTATGTTTAGTTCTTTGTATTTAAAGGCAAATGTATGTTATGAATATTAAGGATGTTCGAAAGAATTTGAATGATATTACTATTTCATCAATACAAGCTTACATATTACTAGACTTGAAAATATTGTTATTTAGGTCAACCATAATTGGATGCATATCTCAGTTTCTTTTATTTTAAAATTTCAAAGGACGTTCTATAAGTTGTCTGATCTGTGATGTTTCTGAACTCGCATGCTATACATATTAATTCATCTTGTTTGTGAATTTGTTTGTTTGTAAACTCCTCCCACAGTTTTAGAGCTAGCTAGCTGGATTAAAACATTCCCAGAAAGTCATTGAGGCATAAGGGGGGGTCTAGAAGTAGGTTAGCATAGTTGCCAAACTTGATTTTTGCATTGGATTTTGTGTTCTTGGCCACCCTTGGAACCTGTGTTCATACTCTGACTCACAAACTACTAAGTTAGTTGGACTAAACTTGGTGCAAGTGCTCAGGTATCACAAGTGGGTGTCCTAACAATTTTTTTTCACGTATGGAATCACCTTGGAGTAGCTATAGAAGTAGCTGGGGATAACGGAAGAGCTTGATCGGTAATTGTAGCTTCAGTGAATCATGAGAGGACCTTTCAACCCCACAATAGAGCACAGGTATTTTATCTTAGTTATAACAATTAAGGGAAAGAGAGAAAGCAAAATTTAAGGTTGAGAAGCAAACCTACAATGTATATTTAAATATTTGTTGGTGTTTAAACAGATGCAATAAAACAAAATATGTACTGCATGTCAATACAAGTTGTATTAGATAACTGTTGAGTGACATCCCTGAACTCACCTTACCTAAAACAACAAGAAATCATTCAGTCCTTCAAGGCTATCCTTGTACACCCACCCACATTTAAACTAATGTTTTTCAGAAAATTATCAATTTCACTCTTAGACTTTTGCAAAGTGTCAGCCTACACTAATACTGGCAGTAACTCACTCCATAAGTCAATCACCCTGTTTGAAAAATAAAACTGGCTTACAGTTTTAGAAAAACTAAAATGTAGACACTACAATTTAAAAATCAAAATATTTCACTCTTAGCATCATCACTGAGACATTTTATTAATAATGTACAAATAATGAAATTAAAAATGTGGATATGCAGGCATAATACATTTTCTAACCTTGTATTAAATTTAGAATTTTATTGGATAGTCAACATGGTTTCAGTATAGGAAAATATAGATATCAATTCTTTAGTGGTAGAAAAAAAAAGACTGAAAGAATAAAAACAGATAAATCATCAGAACCAGACAATGCTTTTCTCAGAGTTTCAAAGGAATTCAATGGTCAACAGACAATGGACAGATACCCAAGGATTAGATAGTTTCTAACACCACTCCTATTTTTAAAAAAACAGGAAAATGGGCTGATCTGGAAATTATAGACCAGTTAATATTACTTCTTTAATGGGAAAAATTCTAGACAGTCTGATAATAATATTTTTATAGAATCATCTAATCAAACATTACATCATAAAAGAAAATCAACACAAATTTGTTAAAGAGAAATATTTTCTTACTAATTCATTAAACTTTTTTTTTGAGTATATTAATGCTATCTAAATGATGGAAAGAGTGTGGACTTGGTGTACTTAGATTTTCAAAAGTCTTTAGATAGGGTAACACACAAAAGATTAGCTACAAAAATCACATCAGGTAGGTTTGGGAAAGACTAGTTAATTGGATTGTAGGATGGTTTGATGAAAGATAAAAATTATAATTCACATCCATAGAAACTGAACCCTTGTTACTAGTGCAGTGCCTTAGGGGTTGGTGCTTAGGCCTTTGCTTGTTCTTATTTATGTTGAGGATATCAATTGGGGGACAATTACTAAAATTTGCAGCAAATGACATTAAACTCTTCAGTATCTCTAGTTGTACAAAATGGCTTTAATCAATTGGTTCACTGAACAAATATTTGACAAATGACTTTTGCAAGATAATGCATTTCACTTATAATTTGGATTACGTGTTTAATATGGATAAGAACCCACTCTAAAGCATAAATGAAGAAAAAACATTTTGGCATAGTGGTGGAAACATCACTCAAGCCATCGAAGCAGTAGTCTATTCCTTGCAGCAAAGCTAACAGAATTTAGAGTGTATTTATAGACATTGACTACAAGGCAAAAGTGGTCATTATCTCTATACAAATCAACAGACAGGCCTCACTTGAAATACTATGTACAGTTTTGGTCCCCTTATCTCAGAAAGGATATCGAATGATTGGAAAGAGCTCAGAGGAGGGCTGTTAGAATGATTCTGGAGATGAAAGGATAGTCTTATGGGGATAGTTTAAGATCTCCAATTTATTTTCTCTCAAGAAAAAAGAGGTGATCTTATTGAAGTTGGCAAGATTATCTGGGGAACTGACACAATAAAGGACTGTGATTTCTTTGTGCTATTCTCTGAAGACAATAAGAGAACTCAGTTTACGATTTGAAAAAAAAAGTTAATCTCCAGTTAAAATAGCTTTATTTTTCACACAGGGTTGATTGAGTTGTAATAGGCAGTAGTGTAGTTACTTAACAATAAAAGTAGAATTAATAATTTCCTGAAACATAAAGAGCAAGTTTAAATATTTATTTTTTCTCACTGTACATATGTTACTAGATATAACAGATCAAGTATTAGCATATTTTGGTAAACTTCTTTAGATATTTTTTTTTTAAAGTATGAAACTAATTTTCAAGTTCCATTAGATTTGTACAAACCCAACAAAAAACCTATGGCACTAAATTCTTTACATGGCTTAACACAAAAGTAGTTATAACTTATGTACTCTCAAAAGTCTAATACAATAACATTAACACTTTAATTTTCAGTGCCACAGAAATTAGTAGACAGCCATAAAACTAATTGTCCTAGTCCTATGTCACTTTTGTAGACTGGATTAACTTAAAATAAAATAGATATAGCCTTACTTGAATTCTGGTACAAAACTTGCCATTTTAATTCCTGGTTAAATACCATTATTAGTTCATGGATGAAAGTGTCCAATGCTCATTTTGACTGAAATATCTTTTGGCTGAAGTCTAAGGGAACACTTGGGCCCCCCAAACACTCTGGGAGGGAATTCTGACTCCAGATGGAGAACTTTTACCCATGTTAGTTGTGTTACCAGATTTGACATATTTTTTCTGATGGATCATAAACTAAAGTGATGTTCTTTTGGTTTCACTTTCAGCCCTACTTTTACTCTTAGTCTTACTACTGCCACTAGTAGTACCAGTACAACTACAACAGTACAAGCGCTGTAGAAGTACACTACTCAAAATAAACTTAATAGTAATACAAGTAATAGTACTAGACTAATACTGCTATATTACAGAGTACAGTACAAGCGCTTCATGACTTAAGTTCATTATATTTACAGTTTATGCTGTCATTAAAATTGATTTAGATTTTTAGAATTAATTTAATGATTGGTAAATGTGTAGTGTAACTTGTAAGAACAGAGACATTAGCAGTGAATTCAGATGTCCCAGTGTATTGTCATTTAATTGTTAATATTCTACAACTTTTGACAATACACTACGTTATTCGAACTCACCTAACTTACTGTATTTCTAAATTGCATAACTGAAAAAGTTTTAGAATTTAATTGCAAGCGCCTTAACTTACAACTCACAGCACTCGTTTGACGAAAGCGCTACCTGGTGACCAATAGTATTCCTCTTGTTATTTAATTAATATAGTGCCAGCCGTAATCTAGGAGGCATAATTTAAAGAAATAATACGTTTTTGTTATTGTTTTTTTAATTCAAAGTTACACAATGGAGTATCTGCTCTTAGTTTACAGCGGAGAAGTGAACCTCGAATTTTAGCATTGTAAGTCCGTAAACTTACCGTTTACCCGCCGGGGGACAAGTAATAACGACCTTATATCCCCAGGAATGTTTGTTTTACTACCTTACATTCTGGTTTTCAACTTCTTTACTATAGAGTATAGAGCAACACAAGTAGGATAAGGTAACAAATATTACCTGATCTTCGACAGTTATAGGGTCGTTCCTATTTCTTTAAGTAATGTTCCTTACTTAATTAGAATAGTGACCTATAATTTTAGGAATATTCTGAGAGAAAAAAAAAAATCATTTAAATAT